ACTGTGTGGCAACATAAATGTTTCCCCTAGCATGACAGAAGCACCATTTCAGTGAATATCACCATCTTAATTATATTCACCTTATTCAAGTGTGGAAATCTTTGATAGCAGATGTAATAGTTTGCACATTACAAGCAGATAAGTTAAAATTCCATCAAACACTGTTTTATGCACTGCGGATGCTGCATCTCTGAGCTTAAAGTAAATTATAAGCATCTTGTTAATAGAAAAATCTGTGTTTTCATCAATAATAAGTGTATCATAGGAAGACAAGTGAATTTCTAACATGATTTCTACATGGTCAACATTTTTGACTGACATCAAGAACTTTAAAGCATAATTTTTGCTATGCCAGCTTTCTGAAACACACTAGTACTTTGCCTTGTGATCATGTATATTTTGTACTAAGTTCATGGAGCTGTTCATTTGTACTGCAAGCAGAACATTGTCTATGAGAACTTTTATTTCACCTGGCTCTGAACGTTGTCTTTCCATCAGTTCCAGTCTCTTCTGTCCGTCATTAGTGTTTTCTAATAGAATATTTTGCAAGTCAAATCCCAGTGGGTGAGAATTTATGCTTCTAAGAACATCTACAGCAGATTCATGACCTTTTCTTGATAAATGCCTCTTTATGTAGTCCAACTTCCATCCATATTCCCATTTCTTGCCAGTAGAGAAATTGCTGGATATTCTAGCTCCAGCACAAATTTTGTAGATCAAGCCCACATCAGCACTTTACTGGAATATTTCCTTAAGTTGTTCAAAAATCTTGCCTCTGGATTGTTGAGATTCTTTTTCTACAATTTCATCCAGCCACTCTGAATGTGAGGCAGCATTTCTTTTTAGGATTTGCCCCTTTGTTGGTTGATGCTGCTTGCCTTTGTTTAAACGTGGCTGTTATAAGGGTATGCTTTTGTCGATAAATATATAATCTCCACAAAAAATAATTAAAAATCAGTAATAATTTTATAATTCTACATTAAACTTTGACCTTCTAATGAATCACTGTATGCAAGACTTTACCAGTAGGGATGATATTTAACCACTGTACAGTTTCTTTTTATCGAAACATACTATGTACTGATTTTAACCTTCGAGTCTTGACTCAACACCCTATGATCAATGAACTTCAACAATATAAACATTACTTGCAAATTGTAACTGTCCTTGGTCATAATTTGGAAAGTTAAATGAAAATTGATTGAGAAATATGATTGAGAGAGTAAACATGCACACATCTTCCTCTTAATAATGCACTATTGATATACAGTTATGCATGACATAACATGAAAGAATTGTTCTCTATTATCCATCCATATAGTTTCATTTATTCTTTGTTTTCAAGAGAAAAGACCATTTTTGCTGTTGCTAACTCTTTGATATTAGCACCTTGTAACAGTTTTTAACACTACTATGTTGGACAAGGTTATTACATATATGTACATTATTTCCCCTTATTTTTTGAATTAAATGCAATTTAACTAACTAGCACCATATAACACTCATATAACCTTCATAGGCCTACTTAAACCAACAAAATTGCACTTTACCCAGCTAAAACACTTTTGAACTTAACTGAATTCAAATCTACTAATTAGCTCACCAGTTGACATTCTACCCTATAGAACCCACTTAAGCTAAATAAATGCTACTCTTGAGTGGCTATCAGTTAAATAAGGTTGGCTAAACTTGGAAATCCTGCATAAAATGGCTGTTAAAATGCACCTAGTGAGTTACTCTGGAACAAAACTAAACAAGTTAGTGCTGTTACTCATAATATAGCACACAATGATATAGCTGATTACTTTTATCAGTAAAACATGTTTATTATAAGTATAAATGCTACTAATGTTATCAACAACTAGGTGAAAGTCAAGATAATTGCAACTGCATTCCACATTGCAATTGTGCCATGGCCACGTGTTCTTTTCTGTCCCAATTTTCCAGCCTGAAGAGAGATGTCAGCACTAGTTAAATGAATATGGAGCAAAATTCAAGTTATTTTTTTTTTTCCTATCACAATGAGGCCTTATCATTCTGACAAAAGTGTCTTTGACTTAACCTACCAACATCAAAATAGTTCACCATCACTGAGGATGTGTGTGGCTGAAATAATTAAATGTGCAACACTTGATAGACTGTTGCGTGGCCATGCAGACACATGGCTTAAATAGAATGATGGTGGTGAGATATTTTCCTTACCTGAAAATGTATTTCTGAGAGATGTTACCTCCACACACCTTTCCACCCATCCTCCCCATTTCTGGTGCTCTTTCTCCTTACTTCACCTAATAATTAAGTTATTTTGAGCACAAGTGCATAGGGGGAGTTGCTGCTAAAGGAAGTTGTGCTGCCCTTCTATTGGTAGAGGGCTATTATTGCATGATGATGTTATCAATTACTAGTGTAGTTCATGTTAAACACATGCTTTATAGGCCAATGACATGCAATTATCATACAACTACTAGTGTAGTTCATGTAAGACATGTTTTATAGGCTAGTGGCATGCAAATATCATACAAGTATTAGTGTAGTTATGTTAAGCACATGTTTTATTGGCTAATGGTATACAAACATCATACAACTACTAGGGTAGTTCATGTTAGACACATGTTTCATAGGCTAGTGTCACGCAAGTATCATACAACTACTAGTGTAGTTCATGTAAGACATGTTTTATAGGCTAGTGGCATGCAAATATCATACAAGTATTAGTGTGGTTATGTTAAGCACATGTTTTATTGGCTAATGGTATACAAACATCATACAACTACTAGGGTAGTTCATGTTAGACACATGTTTCATAGGCTAGTGGCATGCAAGTATCATACAACTACTAGTGTAGTTATGTTAAGCACATGTTTTATAGTCTAGTGGCATGCAAATATCATACAGGTACTAGTGTAGTTATGTTAAGCACATTTTTTAGGCTAGTGGCATGCAAATATCATACAACTACTAGGGTAGTTCATGTTAAACATGTTTTATAGGCTAGTGGCATGCAAATATCATACAAGTATTAGTGTAGTTATGTTAAGCACATGTTTTATTGGCTTATGGTATACAAACATCATACAACTACTAGGGTTGTTCATGTTAAGCACATGTTTTATAGGCTAGTGGCATGCAAATATCATACAAGTGCTAGGGTAGTTCATGTTAAACACATGTTTAATAGGCTAGTGGCATGCAAATATCATACAAGTACTAATGTAGGTATGTTAAGCACATTTTTTAGGCTAGTGGCATGCAAGTGTCATACAACTACTGGTGTAGTTCATGTTAAACACATGTTTAATAGGCTAGTGGCATGCAAATATCATACAAGTACTAATGTAGGTATGTTAAGCACATTTTATAGGCTAGTGGCATGCAAGTGTCATACAACTACTGGTGTAGTTCATATTAAACATGTCTTATAGAAAATCAGTAGAAGCTGATAGTAAACTCTGCCCACATACTGAACACACTATCTAAATTGATTTAAAAATTTTTAATATTTAGTTTTTTTTTCTAAATCAAGAATATTCATAAACGTTTCTTTCACAATAATCAAAGTAAACATAAGCTGTGAATTGTATACGGACAGCAAGAAACCGTTTAGTCCACCAAGGCTGTCCTCAAGAAAAAGTAAAATAAAAATAAGAATTTTAACTCCATGTTTGTTTTTTCAGGAATTCATTGATTTTTAACCCTAGAATGTCAGTGTGGGGTCACTATGACCCAATATCACTTGGTTTTAATAACTGAAATTTAATTCTGGCATTCTATGGTTAAACTCCCATAATATTCCAACTTCCATTACTGCTGATGACACATTTTGTAAGCTAATGATCTTGTTAGATAAAAAAAAATAATGGTTCCAAATTGTATTTTCAGGATAGAGCACAAAGAAAACAGGCCTTTATCCTCTCAGTTTTCTGGAGCAAATAAAAATTTCACTTGCTATTTAAGCAAGTGAAGATATTGAAATGGAAATTTCTTTTTGAAATGTGTGAAAATAATTAGAAAATTAATTTTAACATGGTGTGCTTAGAACTGCATGAAGGTCATTTAAAACTCTTACCTTTATCCAAATTTACTTTAAAGATAACCAAATTAAATCACACAGAGCTCTATAAAATCCTGAGCCAATAATTTGTTTGATTGCAGCTCATTGCAGGAAACAGAAATAGAAATAGTTATATGTATCTTGCAAATCATGTAACCAGTTCTTGATAAAAGGAGAGGGGTATTTTGTTAGTAAAATTCATTTTCCAATTAAGGGGAAGGATGAGAGAAAGGTTGAAGTTCTGTCGAGTTATAGATAGTAAAAGACAAATGTGATATCTAGGCTTTTACATACAGATTAGATTACTGAAGATAATATTTGGATTTGTTTTGAGAGTTCAACTAAGTAACAAATCTACTCCACCAGGAAACATTTACAAAATATAATATAACAATTTCTCAGCCTTTTACATAAAGGAAAACAACCCATAAATTGAACATCAGTTAAAAGAACACCAAAAACCTCCTTCCCAAGTCCATGAACATATGAACAAAGCAATCACAGTTTTTCTGAACAGAATGTCACCATATTAAAACATGAACCTGACATTAACAGAAGAAAGATCATAGAAGCCTTATTAATAAAATCAAAGAATCCCACATTTCAAGATGTGGTAACTTAAATTTTGTCTTTAGTTCTGAAAACATGTGGTTTAAGTAATAGTTATGTGATTATGTAATTATTTCTAAACAAATCATTGTCTTTGCTACTGAAACAGAAAAAGATTTTGGTATAATGAGTTAAAGGTCCATGACTTAAAGAAAACTGTCTACTGGATGCTAGACAAAGATGTACTCACATTAATGATGATAATAATACAAAATAGACATTAAAAAATGTCAGTACATAATTAACTCATATTGATGATCAAAAAGATTATATATAACTTAGTGATTTTAAGTTTATAGTGACATCTTGATAGGTAACTGAATTTTTTTATTATTTTTAGGAACAGAAAAGCAACATTTTTTATCAGAAAACATATTATTAGAAATAATTAGCAAGTGCCAAGAAGAAAAGTCCTATTCGGTACTGATCAGAACTTTAGGTGAGGTTTTCTCAAATAAGGAATCACTTATAAAGAGCTTTTTAAAGGAAGAAGGAAGTATTGTTGTGAACGAAAACCTTACCAAGGAGGACATCAGAGCAATGGAGATTGACCAAGATAAAGATCAGGATTCACAAGAGATTGAGGAAAATGTACGTACTACAAAAATAGGTCCTCTAAAATCAGATGATGTCACACTTGACATAGAAAGTGTTAGACGTGCATTTTTGGCATTATTTGGAATTCCTGGCCGCCCTTTTCAAGATGCTCTCATTAATGCACTGAGTACTTTGTGTATGAACTTAGAAATTGATCTGAAATACCACAATCCTTACCACAGAGACAAAAATATGATCAACATATTTTTAATAATAATGGAGATACCAATGCTGGAGTGTCCAGAGTATCTGGATTCAGCTCTTCCAGCATTTTGTAAAACAGCAAGTCTGCTTCCTCTTCCTGCACAAACTAAATTAGCAAAAGTATGGTCAAAGGCAAAACCTGATAAACTAAAAACCATGATAGACACCCTACATCAAGTGATTACATTACGTGTCATAGGAGGCCACTTCTCCCGGGATTATTATCTTAATGATGATGAAATCATAGTAGCAGCAACCAAAACCATGAAGATTTTATATTATGCTGGCTTAATGGGTGGCAATGTAGAAGTAGTGGATTATGCTGATGAGATTGAACAAATAGAAGAGGATGAAAGCTTTCAGGACTTGTTACAAGGTGCTATCAGTCGAGACTCAAAAGAACCCAAACAAACCAAAACAGATCTTTTTGCCCAAAACCTTGGCATACATATTCTTGATTGTCGTAAACCTTTGCTCCCATTTGAAGATTACTACAATGAGCTTCTTAGTGATAATTTGGAAATGGATCAGGATTTTACAAATTATAAATCAGGAGGAACAAAGTTTTCTTTCATGAATTACTCCTTCATTCTTACCCCAGCAGTCAAAGCCCAAGGGTTGTACTATGATAACAGAATTCGCATGTTTAATGAAAGACGGTTATCTGTTATTCAAAGCCTTCTTCATGGCTCTCCTCCTTATCCATTCCTCCGACTTCATGTTCGAAGAGACCACCTCGTAGATGATGCATTAGTTGGGGTAAGTACACAAGCTGTATATGTTCATCATTTTTATATATGTATTTGTTCTGTCACAGTGAATTTTATCTTCTTATCCAAAATGAGTGTTTTGTTTTACCTAAAAATTCAACAAAACTATTGTGTGCATTGAGAGAAATGTGATATAATAGGTAGAGAGTGCTTCAGGAAACAGTTTCTTTATGATTTGACAGTGTTTTGGAAGCCTTCCATCTTTCTTCTTCTGAAACCCGAAGAAAGAAGAAATCTGTAACGTCATTAGTCATAGAGAAGCTGTTTCCTGAGGCATTCACCATTCATTGTTTCACATTTCACTCACTATAGATACAATGCCTACTGTTGATCATCTATCATGTTATGTTTATTAACTGAAAATTACAAATCATAGTCTTATACGTAAAGTATTTTCTTTCTTAAATTTCAAAATTTGATTTGTGAATGTCATAAACGTAGCTAGTGGGAATACCAATGAAATACATGTCAATATATATATGTATATTCACAAAATTTTATTAGATCAAAGTTTTCCTATAACATTGCTGTTTTTATAAAGATATTGTTATTGCAGTAAAATTTAAAAAACTTGTGTGACTGAGACCAAGTACTTATCATCCAGCAATCATAACTTGAACATCTTGATGTTATGCTGCTGCTCTGAAATCTGTATAGTTTTAAACAATTGTAACTGGTACATCTTGGTGTCATGCTACTGTTCTGTGTATAGTTTTCAAGAATAATTATAGCTTTGCTTTCAAAGATGCAAAATCTTGCCCACTATGGGTTAATGCTCTGTAAAGTGCATCACTTGCACTACCCTTGGTACAGCCCTGAGGGTGAGTCATGAGTCATGGTTCTAATCATTCATTTTCTATAGCTTGCAGCCTAGAAGCCATGTTATTTTTGGTTTGAATCTGAGATAAAAAAAATTTTCGGTCTGGTTGTTTACCACCAAATGTCAACTTTTGCATGTCCCTACTCTGTCAGTACTTCTTGGTTGTCTTAGTTTTTTTATTCTGATAAGAGCCATATCCCATTTTTTTACCACTGTTGATAGACTGATGACAGATGTATTTGAACAGCCAGTCAAAAACCTGCCTTTTTGAAAGTGAGAATCCTGACAGATGGGCACAAAATTTTCTTGCAGAAACCATTACTCTTTGTCATGTAAAACAACCATGATGTAGTTGTATGTCCATTTAATGGGCTAATGCATTGTTTGATCTTTATGTTTTACTATTGTAAATAAGCAATATCTTCTACAAATGTGTAGATTGGTCCTACTGAAGTGTCAGCTAGAGTAAATTTATTTTTCCCTTGGCAGTCATTTGAGTGGAATACCTGGGATGTTCAAGTTTTGTTCAACTTCATGAAGGAAAATGAAATAAAAACAGCATGAAAAAAGAAATAAAATAATACAAAAGGAGAAGAAAATCTAAACATTAAAAGAGAGAACAGATTGACTTGAAAAGGATTATTAAAGTCAATAGTGGAATAAGGAGTTCCATGAATGGGATCCTGAAAAGGACCATTTTACTTTAATGAAGTAGTCCTGAAAAGAACTAAAAACTTCACATAAAAAAAAAGAGAAGAGAGTGGGATAAATGTCAAGAAATAATTATTTGGCAAAAAAATGTATTATATGGTTAACCATGTCTCAACCAAGGTAAAGATGTATTTGCATCGTTAGAAAAGATAGCTGGTACAGAATTTCTCAAAACAGCTATCTTGAAAAAGTTTTGTTCCACAGACATAATACATTTTTCATATTAGGAAGGTTGAACATTTTTAAGAAAAGGAAATATTTAAGAAAGTAGATGATAAATTGTGCAGGCTTTTCAATTTTTCCACACCTGAAGTTTTTTAAAGAGAAAATATGATATTGAACATAAAAAAGGAGAACTGCATTGAAAAAAGAGGGCATATAAAAACATTGTAGGTTAGAATAACTGATGAAAAGTTACAATTGCAACCTTTATATTCAGAAACAGTACTCACCTCTATGTAGAACAGATAGCTGTCACTTTCTACATATTCTGAGATTTTTGCACATTCCACAAGCTTTGAACTGAACTTCCACTCCTACATGTATTAACGTGGACTGCACTAACGTATGAATTAATCATGACTCTCTTAAGGTAGCCAAATGCCTCGTCATCTAATTAGTGACGCGTATGAATGGATTAACGAGATTCCCACTGTCCCTATCTACTATCTAGCAAAACCACAGCCAATAGGAGGGCAACACATCATACATGTGCAGTACACCCCATGAGCACTAGCATTACAACAAAGAATCATTTTCTTTAGAATAATGGAAATTTTTAGCGCTTATTATTTACAAATTCATTAACATCTGTAATGTAGTCTTCCCCTTAAATTTTTATTATGAGAATGAAAGATAAATTTTAAACAGTCTTGTTATAACTCTGTTCAAATTATCTTGTATTTAATATATATATATTTTTCCTTATCCTGTGTCTATGCTGATGTTTCTTTGACAGTAGTATTTCCCTTTGTTTTAACAAAGCATATGGGCTTCATTATGACTTCTTCCCTTTTGATATTACACCAATGACCTAGGCCTATTCACCTATGACATACCAGGTCAAATTTTACTTATGAAAAACAACAACATAAGTTGGTTTTGTGGATCATCTCAATTTCAAATTCATGTTTCCACATTTCTGACATCTACTGAGATTCTGATGCTCCTCAAAAAGTCATCCATTCCTGTAATGGCAACTGAAGACAGTTTGATGGTCAATGATGTCACCATCATTGTGCACCAGGTGGTTAGTTCCATTCTGGTCTCAGACTGAGGATTCCTGATCTCCTGCTTCTGTTCCTTCAACTGAACTAACCCAACTTTGGATGAAATTGATCAACTGTTTTCATGCCTACTTATGTTTCTTACTGGTTTCTTCTTCCCATTGAGGATTAGGTAATCTCACCATTCTCTTTTACTTACACAGGTATGTGTTTTTTGTTTCCTCTTTCTCTAGCTTTTTTTTTATTGTTGAATCTCAGATAACCTTGTTACATGAGCCACAATCACTTCTCTTTTAGCATGGGAAACTTCTTACTTTCTTTCTACTCATCTTCATTTTTTACTTATTCAACTTTGTAGACATCTGTCCATGCTTCATCTTTTAGAAGCTTTATATCACAACCTTATTAGCTTTGGTTTCTTGCTTTTTCTTTTGGACAAGGGAGCTGCACCAACTTTCTCATCTCTTACAGCTTTGTAGTATCTCCCACTCTTCTGTTCTTACTTCCAATGTTACTATTTTGTGATGGGTACTTTCCTGGGATGTATTAGGTCATCAAGAAATTAATGTCACGTTTTGGAACATTTTCATTAATCACCACCCAAAAAACATATATAACGTATAATAGTTAAACAAACTTCCTAAATGTCACATTAGTGTAGCCTATATAATGTGTAAAGTTTAGTATACTCTAATCCCTTATAGCAATGGCAAATGATACACACATTTGGCATATAATACTGTTTGAATACAATACAAGGGAAACAATGCCTCTGTAGTCAGAGAATATCAAAGAAGTTTATGGAAATGTTTTGAACATTTGTAGGTGTCAATGATGGTTCAGCAAATTTCATTCAGGTTGACTTTAGCCTTAAAAACTGTGATGGCAGGGGCCGACATGTTGGAATTGATATTGATGCTCTGAAGACGTTTGTTGAGTCTAACCCAAAGCAATACACTTGTGGAATGGCCCTGAAATTGTATGCCTCTGATGAAACAATACGTAAATATCTAAGGAATATGGGAAAACTCTATAAAGAATGTGTTTGGGTGTCTCACAAACTCTCTGATGATCATCGTTTCCAACATGTGAACGTTGCTTCGTCGCTTCTGGCGCATAAACCATTTTTGGACAGAATTATCACCGGTGATGAAAAATGGATTCTCTATGCGAATATTAAACGCCAAAAACAATGGCTCAGTCCTAAACAAAAACCACTTCCGACCCCAAAACCTGAATTCAATCCGTAGAAAGTGATGCTTTGCATTTGATGGGACATCAAAGAAGTAATTCATTTCGAACTTCTCAAGTGTCAATGCAGAGATCTATAGTTAGCAACTGGAACGTTTAAATCAAGCCCTTCATCAGAAACGCTCGTC